TTACACCATATTGGCTCTCTGAATTTTCAGATAGAATCAAAACAAGATTTAATTTCCAGTCCAACTGACAACTCTAGATGGACCCATATATCACTCTCTCCTTTGACTTAAGACAACAGACACCTTTGGTCTTCACTAATGTGTCTATCAGCACTTATCTAAATAGATTCAAAATGCTGTTATTACATTAATGCTTTTACATCGACAAATTAGCCATTCAATATACCTTCATCCAAACCAAGTTACTTTTAAAGACCTCCACAGGAAAAAAAAATGACAATAAAACAAAGACTGGAATTTATAATAAATTTCTTCAGAATGACTGCTGCTTCATACCAGAAAAAATGTGTCATTTCTTATTCCCTGCCTTACCTGACATTGTTTTTTGAAGATTACTTTAATGTTTAAAAATGACATGGGAAATTTGTATGATTCACAGAAAAGTTTAAGCCTTCAGACTTGGCTCTGCTTGCCTCTGGGCTATATTTGGATACTAAGCCAGATCATTTTAAAAACAAATGTGTCATAAACATTTGGAACGTCAGTGTGCCTTAATCACACCTTGTGCCCAAAAGTTGCAATCCTGAAGGACAATTAAAGATGGGTGCTCCTGGCACAATTGGTATAGTGTTCATTTTTCTGAATCAATTGACCCTGGGGAAATCTTTTATAACTCATTTGCATCAGTTAGGATACACAATGATTGAAATTAAATAAAGTAGTAATCCCTTTAGATCAGGAATCTTCAGCCTCTGGTTTGGGGATCGATACCAGTCTGTGGCATGCCAAAAATTGGTCTGCAAAACAAGCAAAACTCCATCCATGGGATGCAGGCAGCACACAAAACCACACCTCCTCTGGTCTGTGGAAAAACCTCTCTCCCTGGAATCGGTCCCTGGTGCCCCAAAGGTTGGGGCCACTGCTTTAGATTACCATATTTTTCAGACAAAAAGATGCCTCAAACTGTAAGACGCACCTGGCTTTTGGGGAGGAAAACAAGAAAAAAAAATCTGCCTTGGCCCCCCAGCAATTTGCCTCCTTGCAGCAAACAGCCTGGTCAGCTTCAGCACAGCCTGATTTAGCATGAGCAGCTGATTGGCGGTTGGATCTCCCTCCAGACGATCAGCTGTTCCAGTCTGCAGGGATCGCCACCGCCTTTCACCGTCTCCGCATGCCCCTTTTTTGGCCTCTGCGTGCCCCGTTCTCGGCCACCGTGTATCCCATTGGGTGCGTGGAGGCTGAAAATGGGGTGTGCAGAGGCTGAAAATGGGGCGCGGAGAGGCGGCGATAGGCGATGGCAATCCCTGAAGACTGGAACAGCTGATTGTCGGTATTCCAGGAGGCAGATCCAACCAATAATCAGCTGCTTGTGCTAAATCAGGCTGTGCTGAAGCTGACCAGGCTGTTTGCTGCTGGAAAGCAGAGGCTGAAGGGTGGGGGACAGCGGGTGGGTGGGACTTCAGCAACATTCGCTGTATAAGACGCACAGACATTTCCACCCACTTTTGAGTCTTATACACCAAAAAATACAGTATGTGACAAAGTCAGCCAGGTTAGTCTTGCTGAAAATGTGAGTTACTTGATAGGAATCATAGAGAACAACTACATAATAAAATCCAGGACAAACGGGGGCCATATTTAATTTTGTCTATAGCAACAGCTATGCTGTCTATAGATTAACTCTACAAAAGTCAAAGAGAAATGGTGATTGAACTACCTGACTCAACATTACCTCATAGTGTATTCTCAAGCTAACCAGAGGGTTTCAAACTCTGTGCCAAGATCCCATCCACCACCTGCTTATTTGCTTGTTTTACAAGCCTATGATCGTTTCTTGAGTCAACCCTATCTCTCTTTTATACTGCCAATCCACCTGAAATGATACACCTGCTTTATTCTTTTTGTCCTTTCCTTTACAGGTAGTCCTTGCTTAACCACCAGTGATTTAGCAAGCATTTGAATGTCTAAAGGACTTCCCAAAGCTACTCATGACCCATTTTCAAAGTTCTGAAAGCTGAAATCCTCTCTCCCTCCGATTATGTGATTGTATTTTGGGAGCTTGGCAACTGGCTTCATATTTATGGGATTTTGCAGTGTTCTGTGGTCACACGATCACAACTTTGGGCTTTTTTTTTTTTTTTGCCAGTTTCCAGCAAAAGCCATCTATTGGGGAAAATGAGTTTGTGCAATTGTGATGTTTGCTTAACAACAGCCGCATACATTTAATGACCACTGCAAAAAATCAGGCATAGTCACGTGGTGACTCACTTAATGAGTGCCACAACTTAGAACTGTAATTCTGGGCCCAGTCATAAGTCAAGGACAACCTGTATAACATTTAATGTTAGGCAGGAAAGAAAACCAGAATGACACCATGAGTTGATCAAACACCTTTCTTGCTGCATGTCTATATATAAGAATCTCACTAAACTGCTTGCATTCTCTTAAGAAATGCCAGAGAAAGGTTTCAGAGATTCTGGGGGAATGAAGACCTATGTCACTTCCTGATGTGCGAGGACTCTATGCTCACCCCTTCTTCACACACACCCCCACCCCCCTTTGGCTGGAGATTCCACCATATTTAATCACCAAATACTATAACAAAAAATACCTAATCTTCAAACTGTTAACATTTCTTTCCAGAATATTTCTTCTTCATTTTTTCCCCAAGTGTTTATCATCTGCAGAAGCCAAATGATTGCCCCTCCAACATATAGAGATTTTTTTTCTCCTCCCTCTAACATAATAACAGAAAAAGAGTCACATCACAATGTCAGGTTATTAAAAAAAAACCTCATTCCTTACTTGAAAATTGAGTATTTCAAAGTCAATGGGAGCTATTGATAGAGAAAATATAGTGGATATCACAACAGGTATCAGCCCCTCTTTTTGCTAAGTAAAGGTAAAAGGTTTCCTTAGTCCAGTAGTATCTGACTCTAAGGAGTGGTGCTCATCCGTTTCTTAACCCAGGGAGACAGCATTGTCTGAAGACACTTGTGTCGTCATGTGGCCAGCATGACTATATCCTGAGGCGCATGGAATGCTGTTATCTTCCCACTGAAATGGTACCTATTTATCTACTCACATTTGCATGCTTTTGAATTGCTAGGTGGCAGGCACAGGGGCAAGTAACAGGGAGCTCACCCTGTCCTTATTTTTCCAACCATATACTTTCACTCCATCCAGATTTATGCAGAAATCCTATCCCACCCCCTCTCAGTCATTCCCCTTATATTCTAAATGCATTGTATCAGTTCTGGATCCTATTAAATTAGATTATGGAACTTATTTTTTATTTACACAGAACGGTTACACCACTGTTTTTAACTTCTTTCCACTCCATTGAGTCAATGCCACATGAACTAGAGGGCACACACCCTGTGATGAGCAGTACCTTATGCGTCGATTATTCAGACATGCAACTGTGAAAAGCTGTGGAGTCCCGGGTGCTCTTTGAGCTTGTTTTCTTGCAGACATTTCATTACCCCAGTAATATTAGTAGCAAGGAACTGCTTCCTGCAAATAACCCTTATTATAACATTCAGTGCTTGATACAGTCCGAGTTTGCAAAAACAAACTATTGCAAAAAAAATCCCACCACACAAACACAAATATACATATATGCTCACACAAAGGCTTCTCCAAGGTAAAGTTTCAGCCAATTTAGATAGGAACCTGTTTATCTTGCCTAAAGCACTTAGGACACTTTTAGATGTACTAAGCGTTAATTGTGATAGGCTATAATTTCTATACTTGAAGCATCAATTAGCAGATAATTATTTATCTTGTTATTTTGTTCCAGCAGCTATAAAACATTCTTGGCCTTCAGATAGGCAATTTTGCCTGATTTTTATAAAGCGTACAAAGGACTGAATTCCATCTCTTCTTTTAATGTCTATCTAAAAACATGAATATGTACATTCTGAAATGTGGCCAAGAGGATAAAATATCGGCTGAGGGAAGGAAGGAAAGGAATTAGTAGTGGAGAAGGTCTTAAACCACTCAAGGGTGCAGTTCTGTGAACAGCCTCTTTTAATGCACAAAAATAAAACCAGAGTCCAAAACCTGCTAAGTAGAAAAGGAAAGAAGTCTAAGCCATCTGAGGCCGCTTAAGCCAACTTGCTGCAGAAATGCAAGAAGCATCCTTAGCTGGGAATGGAACAACTTGCCACAGCCAACTTGCTCCGGCCAACTCACCATGGCCAACTCGCTGTGGGACAATTTAACAATTTCATTTAATTATTCAAAAACTATTTTAACTTTTGCCATTCACATTTCATTCTGTCCCTCCTTTTGCATCCTTTCTTTCATGATTCTATTCCAGCATTACTTTGGTATTCGTGTAACTCTTGTCCCGCAGAGTTGTCCCATGGCGAGAGATACTGTCCTGTGAAGCGAGTTGGCCGTGGCAAGTTGGCTGTGGCGAGTTGCTCATGGCGAATTGTCATTAATTCCCCCTTAAATTATTTTGCCTTGCAGCCTACTGAAAAGGGGACCACGATTTATCTGGCCAACTGCTCCCCACGGTACTGTCGGACACGTGGACGCTCGATTTTTATTTTTTAAAATGTTTTGGTCGCACGGAACCGAGAAACCCGGGCAGCACCGTTTGCAAATCGTTTTTGTGTGCTTTGCTCTTCTGAAGCGGAAGGGAACTTCCAGAAAGGTGGCAGCACCTCACCTGTAGTAACCCAGAGGCTTCTGAATCCTCCCCCCCCCCCCCGGTCCCCCCACGCGGAGAGCCTGCCCTCTTCCTCCTGCAGCTCGTGAGGCAGAAAGGCGGCCGTGGCAGTAAGCGGGCCAGCGGCGACCGGCCAGCCAGCCAGCCAGCGAGCAGCCGCGAAAAAAACCAGTTCTCGCCTCGCGCCTAATCGCCGGGCCTCCCTAAGGAGCGGCTGCGGTGGCCGAGCCCGCCCCTCTCCCAGCCTCCTTCGCGGCTACCCTCCCTCCCTGCTTCTCCGTCGTCCCCCCCACCGCCCCGTTTCCTTATTCCCATCCTGAAGCGAGGCGGTATTGGAGCTTCGGTCACCGCTGCCTCTGCCGCCACCTTCTCTTCAGCGCGAAGCGGGGCGGTGCTTCTCCACAGCTCCGGGACTTGCCCAGAGGACAAGGACGGGGTGCGTTCCTCTGCCGCCGTTCCTGCCAGCGCCGAAGCCTCGGGAGAAGCGACCCGAAGAGCCACAAAGGAGCGCCGACGGCGAAGCTTGCGCTGCCAGCGGAGTCGCCATGAGTTGGGGCACAGAGCTCTGGGTGAGTCCCCCCCTCCACACAAACACACACACACACACTCCACACACACACACACACACACACACACACACACACACACACACACACACATATCCCGGTTCCTCTCCATTGTGCTCGGGCTTCGCGACCGAGCGAGCTCGGCCGGCTGCTTTTTGTTGCGCGCGCGTGTGTGTGTGAGTAGGCAGGCGCAGCCCCCTCGCCCCGCAATCTCCTCCGTGTGGCGGGAAGCGGGAGGGGGCGCCCGGGCTGCTTTGTTGAGCGAAGTAGTGGAAGCGCCTCGGAGGACAGAGAAAAAGCGTGACTTGGGTAACGTGTGTGTGTGTGTGGGGGGGTGTCGGCCCGTTTCCCACGTCTGCGGTGGGGGGGGAGCGAGGGGGCGGGGCCCAAAGGAGAAAATCCCTCTCCTCTCCCCCCCACTTTCTTTTTTCCTCCTTTTCAGCGCTTAGAATTCCGCGATAAGATTGATCTCAATCCACAGGCTCTCTCCGTGGGGTGTTTTTTTCTCTCTCTCTCTCTCTTTCTCTCCGGCGGTGGGTTGAAGGACGTTGGTTTCGTTGCAAGAGCTCTGAGTCTTTTTGGAAGGGGAATCCACAGCATCCGTGCTCTCTCCTTAAAGCGGGGGGAAGAGAGAGAGAGAGAGCTTGAGCTGCCTTGGTTGGTCGTGCAGTCCCCCCCCCCTTTCTCTCCTTAAACAAAGAAAAAAGGGCTTGGACAATACAGGGCAAGAAAGGAGGCATGGATTCATGCTGGGCAGGAGGGGGTTGTTGAGTTTCGTCTTAAGGAAGAAACTGAAGGTGGAGTGTATTGTAGGCAGGTCCCTCCTATCTTTGGTTGTGAGTCAGGCTGTGCCCCAGATCTGCTTTTGAGGAACTAGACCAGGTTGAGCTGAAGGTGTAGGAAAAGACCGAAGTGGGCAGCCAAAATAAGCTAACTAGCAATCAAAGCTTCCTTTGGGTTTAGCTGAGTTCCAGAGCAAAAATGAGAGGAATTCTTGATTGCAACCTTACTGTCAGTCAGTTGCAGGCTAAGACATATGAGGTCTGAGTCACTGGGAAGCCCATATATTAACATTCTCAAATACCACACCTTGGTATGGTGTATTTTCTGCTTGGTGTTACAGTTTCTTCTCTCAAATATCTGAGTAATTGAAAAGCAGGCAATTACTCTGTTCTGCTGTTTCTGTGAACATTAAAAAAACAAAACCATTTGTTATTAAACCTTCCTAGTAGAAACCATGATGAGAAACCAAAGTACGCAGATCTCCATGGAGCCAACATGAGAGTGTCCGTAGGCATCAATTGGATGCTCTGCATGCAATTGTACTATTGATTAGGGATGGAAAGTAATGGGCCGTGTGTATGAAGGACAACTTTGATGTCCAGTGGTTAATTTTAGTGGTTGTGTTCGTTAATCAAAGCTGAATCAGTGAGCAAGTCCTGTCATTTAATGACTCTGCTTGTTTTATCTTAATTTGTTGTCAGTTGCAGCCATTTCTGGTTCAGGAAGCACAGTACTATGCCTGGTCACTCATGTCTTCTTCAGCTCACAACTGAGCTCCTGCAGTTCAGAATGATGTTGAAAGCCTTTTGGAAACCAGCTGGTACAGCTTGCAGCTGCCCATATAATTATGAGCACCTCAACATTTTTCTGTGTTGCTTCTGTAACTCCACTGTTAGTTTCCAGGTACAATTCAGCATCACCTTTAAAGACCTTTATTGCTCAGGGCTTGGATATCTGCAAAACTGCCTTCTCTGGATTATTTATTAAATTTATATGCCTCCCATCTCTCTGATAGGGGATAGGACTACTCTGCTTCCTAGTGGGATCTGAGGTTAAATCTTTCTCCCAGTGAGATTGGGAAGAGAGAGTTTGCTCAGGGACATTTACAGGTATCCTGCTTAAAATCCTTAGAGGCTGTAGTAATTTTAACAGCATAGATTGATTATAATGAGAAAACAATATATGTTGCTCGGGGTTGAAGTGTACCGTCCTTGATGCTGTCTGAGCTTGGTTGTTTGCTGTTATTACTTAGTCAGGTAATGAAATGTCTACAAGCAAACAACCAAGCTCAGACAGCATCAAGGAAACAACATTGAATGATTCAATGGGGTCAGTTAATGAATAGGAACAGTGACATCGGAGTAGATTTGTTTCATTTCATATTGTAGTTTTTCATTTGTATTTTGGTGATTTCTGTACTATTGCGATACTGTACCTGATTTATTTATTACATTTACCTCCCAGCTTTAATTCAGGAGATAGTCCACATATATTGGCCTGAGAGAGTGAGAGTGATTAGCCCAAAGTCACCCATTGAGTTTCCATGGCTGAGGATAACCTATTCTAGAATGTGCCCACCCCACATTCCTCATCCAACATTTTAAACCACTACACCACCCTGATTCTCCTGTCAATTTGTATTTTAAATTGTCCATTTAAAGGCATATTTTTATTTTTATGCATTACTAAGTTACAGTGTAGTAGTGTAACTTGTATAGCTGTTCTGACACATATAAATTAATTGGAAATTGAAAATGTGTCAGGAAATGTGGCAAAACATTTTTTAAAATGGTTGTAAATTAAAGTATATATGAAATGAAATTTCTTTAATTAGAATCTTTAATCACTTTAACGAGTTTATCTGTGTGTGTGGGGAAAGTGGGACAACTTGCTGCTTATTTTCTGGGAATGATCTTTAGACGTTGACTGTATTTTTAGATGCTATCTAAAGAAACTATGTAATATGTGCAAATGTTTCTTTTGGATCAATAGTGAACACTGAGTGAATGAATACTGAGTTCAGGAAAAGCATTTGCATCTAAAATAGTGACTTTATAAAACTATTGTTTTGGTTTAAAAATAACTATATAATCACTTATCTGATGTAAACCAAAATGTAAATTAAACTTTTAAGACTAGATTCTGTACAGATATTTGTTTAATAGTTACCTGATTAAGGACTTGGATGTAGTGCAGTGTTATAGCTATCAAGTCATTTAAATAAAGTACAAAAAGTAACCTAATTACATAGATGGAAGGGGTACATTTTAGTTTATGTTCTATCTGCGCGGCAGTCAGGCAGGCAGGCAAAATATGTGAGATAAACGTTTTTGTAGCTTACACTCAGTAAAACAGATACACTGTGCTAGTTAAATAGTTTATTCCAGTAAGAGTTATAGCATAGTCAAACAGTCCATGTATCATTCACTAATTCAGTCCGTCCAGGGATTATTCAGTTGCAAATTCCAGTGTCGAAAAAAAGAGGTCAGTAAACTTACAAATATCAGTCCAGGAATATATCTCCTCGCAGTAGAGATATGAAGAAGTCAAAATCCTCTCTTCCTTCAGCAACTCAGCAGTAGAGAACTCGCAGTTAGCAAACCATCAATCCATCAAACCAGCAATAGTCAGCAATCGTCAGGTTTTCTTGCTCCCTCTTATGGTGGTTCACAACCGCACCCAAAATTACATGCTTTGTAGTTTAAAGTGACACACACTTAAACTTACAATCATAGTTTATATTATTTTACCCAAACTACGTTAGGTAACCTTGTTATTCCTAACACTATCTATATTTTTGTATATATTTTGCAGATAGATACTGATATTTTTATGACATATTTATTAAATTTATTATGTGAGAATGTATATGTTGGCCATCATAGTCATACATAAGGAGGGACAAATTTTATCAGATTTTTATCTAATTTTTATTTATGTCTAAAAATTGTACACAGGAATAAGTACATGTAGTCTTCAACTTACAATGGTTTGTTTAGTGACCGTTCAAAGTTACGACACTGAAAAAAATGACTTATGACTTTTTCACACTTGCAATCCTTACAGCATCTTGATGGTCACATGATCAAAATTTGTACATTTGGCAGTTGGTCTTTATGAGGATTTCAAGTGTCCCAGGGTCATGTGATCACCTTTTATGACCTTCTAACAAAGGCCATTGGGAAACCAGATTCACTTCACCTTGTTACTAATTTAACTACTGAAGCGATTCAGTTAACAACCGTGGCAAGAAAAGTTATAAAATGGGGCAAACCTCACTTAACTAATGTCTCACTGAACAACAGAAATTTTGGGCTCAATTGTGGTCATAAGTGGAGGACTATGTATAAAATTTTGATAAAACTAGTCCTCCTTTACCAACCACAGTTGAGATCACCAACTCGGTTGTTAAACACAGTGGGTGCTAAATGAAACCTCAATTGTAATCATAGTATCATTTCAGCTTTCCTTTTGCCTTTACAGACCTGTGAAGGTTGTAATCAGACTGGTCACAAAAGTACTTTTTAATCATGACTGTAACTGCTAATAGTTGCTAAATGAGAATTACCTGTACATTATCACTGTAATAAAAGATAACAATTTTAGCTAACTTTGGTAAGCTATAAAATATTCTTTCAGCTGTTTGGCTAATGAAGACAAAATAGCCTCTTGGTCAGTTGTGCTTCACTGGAATTAGAAACAGCTTAAACCATTTATAGAGAAGTCTGAAAATATCTATTCTCTGCAGTGATGTTTAATTCTCTTATCTTTCTGGATACTTACTTCTTCAGTATGTTTTTCAAATAATAGCAATAATGCTTAGATTTATATACGGCTTCACAGTGCTTTACAGCCTTCTCTAAGCGGTTTTTCAAAGAATGATGCACATTCATTTCTGTATTTGCACTGAAAACTTTATTTTGTAATTTCAGTAGAATTTTAAGATGATTCAACTCATCCTTATTTTTGAGCTAATGTGTGGTACTTACCTTGTGTTTTATGAACATGATTAACAAATCTACTTCATGAATGCAAACCACCCTGTATTTTATTTTATTAGTAAAAACATTTTTTTAAAATCCAAGAACAGAAAATTTGGTTTTGTCAATATGCCTCTTTGAATTAAAAAAAAAAATCTTAATATGATATGAGAATCCAGCCTTCATGCATTTGTCTAGTGGTGTCACTATAGCATTTCTTCCCAGCCACCACATAATAAA